TAGATACATATTAGAAGATAAGAAACAAGAGTTGAGTTTAGATCTGTAAATCTTTTTAAGAGTTTGAGCTTACACTTACAAATTAGATTTTTGAGAGATCATATCCTTTATAATCTTTCATTCTACCGTTTCTTTGTGATATTGGGAGTGAGTGAAGCTCCAAGAAGATATATTTGAAGGTGAGTGAAGCCTTTAAGAAAGAAACCAATTGAGGTTTATTGGGTTCTTTGTAAAAGAGAGTGTTTGAGTGAAAAAACATATTGTAAATGGATTGGGTAACTCTTTTAAGCTACTCTTGAGCACTAGTGGAGAGTGTGGAGAAAATCTTTGGTGAGTGAAGCCAAGCTAGAGGATTAGGTGCCAAGTGGTTGGGCTCAACTTCTATAAAATCAATTGTGTAAGCACTTTTTCTTCACTCTTTTTGTTTCTCATCAAGTGGCTACTAAAAAGAGACAAATTTGAAAACTCCAACTCATCCCCCTTTTGAAGTATTTAAGCCAACAAAAAAGACTAAAATATCTCATTTTAAAAAAATAATTAAACTATTTTTAGTTTTTCTTATGATATATTATTGAAGTTGTGATGCCAAAATTCCACATCCTATGATTGGTGTATAATTTTTATGACTAATAATTATTAACAATTTGAGCCCTGAGTTTTTAAGAGCCTATGAACTTTGGCTCAAAGAACTATTAAGCCAGAGGTAAGTTTCGGCCCATGTCATTTCAAAAACAACTTAGTTTTAAGGTAATTCTAAATCCCATATCAAGATGGAGGTGTGCAAGTGTAATTGATATATAATTGTCATAATCAACCACTACTAACAACTTAAACTTTTGCAAGTCTATGAACTTAGATCCAAATAATTGTTAGGCCAATGGCAGGCTTCAATCTAAGTCATTTTTCAATCTAGTTTAACGGTAATTTTATTCTTAATTTTTAGGAGACAAGATTGATAAATAACTAATATATATACATAGGGATCCATTTTCACACAAATTTTACACATTACACTTACACAAAATCTCAACCATTTATCTCTCTAATTTTAATAGTTGAGATTTATTCACATTTATTAAAAATAATTATTTTTTTATCTAAAAAGTCATAATAAATTTTAACCATTGAAAATGGAGAGATGAATTATCAAGATTTTGTGTAAGCATAATGTGTAAGATTTATGTGTAAATGGATTCATCTAATATATATCCATTGTAAAAGTGCATATCAATCCTACTTTCAAAATAAGTTAGAGTCTCAACCTTAAGTGATGTCATTTTATTTAAATAAAATTCAATTCAAAATTTAAAAATTCATCTTATTAAATAATAATATTATATTTGAAAATTGATTATATTAAAATATATAATCAGTTTAAAAATCTAAATATCAACTTTTAATATAGTGGATTTTTGAATTTTAAATTGATATTTTGATTTCAAAATATAAGTTGAGACTCTAATTTTTTTTAAGAATCAAGATTGATACACATTATTTTCATATATATATATATAGAGGTTAGTATTTATCTACCTTCACTTTTAAAAATTAAGAAAAAAATCACTATAAAACTATATCATTTTAGTAAATTATAACAAAAAAAGAGATAAAAAATAGTATAATTTATGCTTTAAAAATAAAGTAGTATTCTAGTATTTTCTTAATGAAGTTTATTAAAATAGTATAATTTTAAAATAATTGTCCTTCTAATTTTACAAATGGATACTTTTTCTTTTAATGTAACTAATATATATGTATATATAAATTATATGTGATTGAAGCCTAAATCTATTATATAACTGACCAAAGCTAACATAGCTTTTGATCACAACACAATACAATGCAACTAAATCCACCACCATGACATGAGGTAACGCATCACATCAATTTCATTTTATTTGGTATTTACAAGTATAATGTCCTCGTATTAATATTAATTTTTGTGCACCTTAATACTAATTTTTTTATAAATAGTTTTAAGTCTAAACTTCCATTGCACCCACTTCCACACGATTCATTTAAAAAAATTAAAAATGTTAATTTTAAAATTAAAATTTTAGATTTAATTTAGAAGACAAAAATTACTTACCAATGAATTTAATCTTGGGATTATCACATTGATCTCATATACATCTTAGTTTGTCTCTACACTGGTAATAAATGTGTTTATTAATTAAATTTTCTAAAATTCAGGAGCTTGGATTTCTGAAACTACATTATACATTTGAAACCCAGAAGTCTTGCCCTCCCAACCATTGTTTTGAAAATTGGACCGGATTGGCTGATTGAACTAGTCA